TTACATCCAGAGATGCTCAGTGCTGCAGAAGGGGCGTTTTTATAGAGCCAAGTCTCACATAGACAAAGGTAATCCAGATTGGAGTTAAGTAACAGGTGATTAACTTGTTCTATTTTTGACATGATGCTACTTATGTTCAAATGCCCACCCAGAATAACTTTAGTTTTTGCTGCAGGATCCCAAACAATTTTTGATTGATTGACAGTTTGAAAGAACGCCCATTTCCGGTGGTTGGCTACCCCTGGATTGAGCCGCTTCTTGTTTACGGTCGTTACCATGGTGAGGGAATGGCTGTTTACTAAAGTTTGTTGTTGTTGTTGTGTGTCTGGACAATGACTCCTGCTCCCATGTAAGGCCAGGGCTGTACCACAACGTTTTCCCATGGTGTTGCAACTGAAGTTTCTGTCCAACGCACCTTTACATGTCCTTAAACCCAGCGTTTCACCATGCAGCCCCCCTACAGACTGCCCCAGTATCGCGCTCTCCACACGATCAACCTCGCCTCCACGGACAGACATCTCTGCCACAGTTGACGACAGGTACATAGGAAGGATGTTTTGCAGAGGAAAATGGAGATATAGCTTTACCTGAACGTACGCGTAAGGTATGAGTGATAAGTTTGTCCTCTGTGCTTGAGTTGGCCTCTCCTGGCGTCTCGAAGTGTTGCGGGCCTGGGCACGGGTGGATGTCCCCGGTTAACATCAAGCATATGGCGATAATGAGTCCAGTTGTTTGAGATATTTTGGTTGGTGTTAGTGTTTAGTCTTCTTGGTAAACTTATTATACAGTGGTGGGTAGACCAACATCACAGCCAGTGTATAGGTTCAATAGCCGGTACTTTTCTTGGCTAAAACATTGTTTGTTTGTTTGGTCGTAACCCAGGTTTTCGTTTTCTGATGGGTTTACATGAATTTTTGGAAAGATGTTACCAACCGTCTGAACTGGAGGAGTTCGGAGTCGAAAGAAGATGACAAGTAATATGTAATCTGTATATATATTTAAATCTGATCCTAAAGGTTATCAAAATTGAATTTAGCATTACATAAATTACATTTACTGCTCAAATATATGGGGTTAGATAAACACGAAAGAAGAAACTTAACTGCCAATCCATACGGAGAAAATTAAATCGGTCTTAGTCGACATCCTATAAAATAATCGTATAAAATAATTTGACTGTTTTGCAGACCCATATAAAGTGTAGAAAAATTCTTACTTCTAACTCACATTTCTATCATTTACAACCTTTCATAAATTTCCTTCTACGCGGTCTTGCTGGAGTATTATATTATCTATGTATTGTTCTAGATTGTGTGAACTTTCCCCTTTGCCTCTCTAATGTAGCTTCCGTAATCTGACTGGATCCCTAGCCACTGCTCCTCCCTTTTATTTAGTCCCTAATCTTTTGCTACAACAATAAAGTATTTGTAGATTCTTCGTTTCTTGAAAGTTTGCTCTATTTATAAAACGCCGAAGCTGTTATTTGCTCTTTAGGTGACTAGATCATCCAAGATGGGGTTCATGAATTCAGTTTGACTTTTGGATTTCAGGCCTTTTCTGAATCGTATTTCTAGAAATAATGCTTTCATTCCAATTTTTATTGATTCTTCAAAACTGATAAGCAGTCCATCTTTGGAAAATCTCCTGTAATAGAAATATGGCCTAATTTCCGCTGTTTTCAATAAGCCTTTTTTGTCCCCAACACAAACAGTTTAGCCACAAGGAGGAGTATTTCTGTAAGATATGAGGGACTTTGTAAATTGGATACTTTATTCGAAACATCCTTAGAGGGCCCAAGACCTAGGACTGTCAAGCTCTCCTTTTGAAACAGTTTCTCTCTAAAATTGAATGGGGAGTATAAAACAGTCTCAATATCTGTCCAACCTGGCCTTTTATATTTTTTTCCCAATATTTAATCAGTTTCACCATTTTAAATGCCTTAGATCTGACAAGTTAAGTCCTCCTTTTTCCCCAGTTTTCTCAGTTTCCACATTTTTAAATCTTGGTCAAGCCATCAGTATGATCAAACCATCATACCTTGAGAAAATTTAGATTTACTACAGTTGATTGTGTATCCTGATTTTTTGGAATCCTCTTGAATGTCTTACAATAAATGTGGCAGTGCTTCCTCTGGGTTCTACGGCATAGCCATGCAGCAAAACCTCCACTGTTCCTGTCGTTTATTATCAAATACTTTGGCTGATCTTACAAAATGATTACCCTGTTTAACAGAAGATGTAACAGAATGAAATAAACATATGCTATATGTACATACTGATGTGTTGTATGTGTGTTATAACACTTTCTTCTATTTCCCAAGCTCCAGTTCTCTCCATGACTTTGCTGCATTTCTTTTATACTGCTCCAACTCCTGGAAAAAAAAGATCCAGATGACAAAAGAAATCATTATTGTAATTCTTTGTTCATTTTCTGATTAAAAAGAAAAAACTCTAACAGCAACATGCGGTTCTCTTAACTAAATGCAAAACATGGAAGAAGAAATAACTTCAGAATGAGATTCTTCCACTATATTTCCTATAGTTTTATCAATTATTTTCAAACTTTTCAAATTCTCTTCAAATCAAATCATGGTAGATGGAATTCACTCGTCGCCGCTATGCCTGGGTTATATGGCTTTCTAGACCTCTATAGTTCTTGTTCTGATAACTCTGTACGTTGACATCTTGTACGATCCGACTCCAGAAGATAAGGAGCTGTTTTCATGTGAAAGTTAGTCAGAGATAGCAGATCCTGATTCACGAAGGTTACTGTAGTCCAGCTGCCACAGTGGAACCATGGCACTTTGACAAGAAGACTGATAACTTTAGGTTTTACAACTATAGGAAAGTGTTACAGGTATTTTGATAACACCATCACAGAAACAGGGTCATGGACAGGCTACTGCAGGGCAGAGGGTTACTTTAGGGCATTGGTGGATGGCATGAGGTTCATTCCAGTTACTTACTGAGAAAACAAAAACAAAAAAACACCTCCAATAAGGGGAATTATCTTTACAAATCATTGAAATATAATTATATCATAGAGATGTAAAGTCAAAAACCAAAGGAGTTTTATTTTCTCTGCACTTTACCCCATTTTGTTTAAGCACCATGCTTGGCTTGTTTCCTATTTGGCAACAGGTTCTTTATTGTTTGATAAGCTGGGGAAACTCTCGCTGTCCTTCAGGATGTACATCAGTGGGAATAACCTGGATGTTTGTCAGTGCCGTCTCCACCCAATAACCAAATAAATAATTTTACAGGAACACAGCAGGGCTTACCACAAGCAGCATTTGGGCTGCTGATGAGGTGCATTTTGGGATACCTCATTACCATTAATAAGGATCTATGAAATCCTCTTGCAGGTTTGATACAACTTTATTGGAGGCAGGATATAGCCTGCAGGCCTAGAGCCAGGGGCCGTTTCAAGGAATTAGGGGGGCCCCAAGCGAAAATCACTTGAAGGCTTATGCCCCCTCACTGTGTATTACAATAACAATGTCATTGTACTTTTCTGCTGAGCAGCAATGTCCATTAGTTCCCTTTAATTTAAGTGATGAAATAAAACATTTTGTTGGTCATGAGATGTGTATGTATGAGTCCTGCTTTGGCCAGAGGGTCCTGCTCTTAAGGAAATTCGGACATTACACCTTTCAGACATAACTTCTTGTTCACCTTAAAAGATTCACGTTTTGCACACTGCACTGCGTGTTGAAGCTTCCGATACAGAATAAACTAATGTTTCTCTTGAATTATGCTGTTTTTGTAGTGTTCAACATAAATACTATAATAGTATAATCATTTCATAATTAATATCAATAATTAAAAAATCTTATGAAATGTCACCTGAATATTTTTTTTATTTTATCTTTTATTCAGGTCTTTCCTTCTCACTTCTCCAATTGTTGTCCAAATATGACACATTCTGGATGCTGTTTTGACAAGGTTCATTAAACTAAATCTTCTTTCACAATCAGCACTGGATGCTTTAAATGTATATAAGCACAAATGTCCAAAAACTGTCAGATCTGCCTTGGCTCATCATATCTAAGTGCTGCAACCACCTTATCTGAGAATGGGCTGAATGATTTCTGATGATGTTTTTGCATCATCATGTAATTGAATTTAGCAACAAAAAAAAGTCTCACGGACAATCGCGCTGCACTGTGAATAGGTCCATCTTAAGGTGCTTGTTGGAAAGCAGGGCTGCTACAAATCTATGAGTTTCATTGTTCTGGAATCCTAGACTAAATATTTGGGCTGCCACATAGTATTCTTCCTGTGTGATTATTTATTTATGCACCTGTAGCATTCTTTGATACACTGAATAAGGACCCTGACACTCTACTAAACATAGTCATCCAAATCCAACTCTTACATTCATTAATCTGTACTGTAAAACGGATTTGATAGGTTTATATAAAATTAAATTTACGTACGTAACTACGGTTCTATGAATCCCGGATGACCGCCAGAGGGTGGTGCTGAAAGCGCTGAATGTTCCCTTCGGGCATGCGCAGTTCAAGTAATTATGCCAACAGAGTCACATCTGTGACACAGGATGACCACTCAGAAGCTATATAGACTGGTGTCATCCATTGCTCTGTTCCTACATAATCTTCTAGCAAAAGCAAGGATTCTGAGTGACAGAGAAGCTCTGACCGGGATTCATAGAACCATAGTTACATACATAACTTACGTTCTATTTTATCCCTACTGACCGCCAGAGGGCAGTGCTGAAAGCACTGAATGACTGATGTCAACGACGTCACAAGGAATCCTGAGCACATATCTCACTGAGAGGGCCCAGCAGAACCTTGTAAAAGGACCTTACCCAGCGGATGAGGGGCAGCCACATTGACACTGTAGAACCTTGTGAAGGTGGTTGGGGAAGACCATGAAGCAGCAGCACATATTGCTTCAAGCAGCACCCCCCTCAAAGCTGCCCGGGGAGCCAATGCGTCCTGGCCCCGTGCGCCTGCCACCCCGGTCAGGGAACAACATTGGGGGCAATGGATTGACTCCTCTGTGGCAAATAGATCTACCTCTGCCTGCCCAAAGAGGTTCCAGATAATGCGCACTACGTCGCAGTGAAAAGAGGCCTAACGGGATAGAGAGTCTGCAACCTGGTTCTGCCGTCCTGGCAGATATGCTGCGCGCAAGGTAGAGAGATGAGGTAACGCCCATTCTAGGAGATATCTCGACACCTTCAAGCAGACATGGGCAATGTGGAGTCAACAAGTCATCTCCATGTCATGTATTTAATCTACCCAGCCAATTAACCAGGTGAGTCCAATCTGCACAGGTTAATTCACAGTAAAGATTGAACTCACGTGCTTCAGTGGCTGGGTAGAACAAATACATGACATGGAGATGACTTGTTGACTCCACATTGCCCATGTCTGCTTGAAGGTGTCGAGATATCTCCTAGAATG